ATAAATAATACTCAATAATTGTTTATAAATCAATGCTATTATGTACACTAAGATATACATCAAACATTTACAATTTTTACATGTTTGTCCTTGCCTTTTGTTTTTTATCTCATCGTTTTTGTTGCACTTTAATTTTTATTTAGTATTTTTCTTGTCAAACTTTTCATTACGGTATATATTTGCAAATTTACACTATTTGAAAGAACCTAAACGGATTTGGAAAACCAAAATTAAAAGTTTTATTGAGTTAAATTTATGAAAGAATTGTAAATTCTCAGCTAATTCTGTGACAAAAATACTCAGGTATTTTAACTATGTAAAAAAGAAAATATTAAAGAAGTCAATTTTCATGCATGCATCTCAGATAAAATACATTTTTGAAGTTATATTTTTTAGTGGAAAAAAAATATTAAACTATAAAGTGTTAACAGCTATTTTTGTTATCCTCAATTAGGCATTAATGTAAACTACAGTACGGAGATAAAAATTCAATATTCCCTTCTAGATAAATAACTTTTTTTCCTGACAATAATTTTTCAAATGGACAAAATAGTCAGATGATTGGAGTTTAATCGGTTTTAACAACTTTTAGGAAAATAACGACTAAATTAAATGAATCAAAAGAAGAATCAAATATTTGGAACAATATTTCAACAATATCATTGAATTTGTATTCTTGCTTTAATGTTCTAGCATCTACTTAGTTGGAAATTTGTGATTAGGTCATCTAATTGCTTGAATCTTGCTGATTCAAATCAGTCAATCTAAGAATTTATTAGATGATATATACTGGTCCATGATTACTCAAAAATAAAGAAATTTTTCAAGAAAAAAGTAGTCCTTAATTATATGGAGTGGAGAAAATCAATTTACAAATTGTTCTTGGTCGCAGAATTATTACTCTGTTCATGTTTTGGTACTCGCTATTTTTGTATGGGGATCAAAATTAAAAGGAAAAATATTTAAATTTGTCTCTGTATACTATCAGAAATTGCATAGTTTTGTCCTCTGGTACACTCTTGGTCTATGTACACTTTTGTTGGCTAGCAAATCATCTTGTATTTGCCTTTGTCACTAATGAAGGTGGCGACACACGTTCTGCTTTATCCCTCAATTCACTATTAGAAAATTGCCTAAAACCGATCAGAAATACAGACCGAAATTGGTCGAAAAACTAGAAAAATCGACCGATTTTTGACCGACTTTAATCCGTCAAAATTAGGTTGGTCGGTAATAAATAACGACCGAAGTCGGTCGCAATTTTCGACCGATTTCGAACGTTCAATTAATTTTCACAAACGATCCAAAAAGAAAAAATCTGCCCAAAAAATCGATCGAAGTAGGTCAGTTTTTTGAATATTAGTTTTAATTTATTTTATATAAAAACCAACCGATTTTGGATAAATTTCGCGGGACACTAAAATAGTTTTCCGCATTTTTACGCCCAAAAAAATCGACCGAAGTCGGTCGATTTCGTAAAAAAAATTTAAAAAATAAAATATTTTGAAAAATCAACCGAAATCCGACCGAAGTCGATTGATTGGCCGTGGTCGGTTTTGACTGAATTTCCAATAGTGATTTTTGATTATGCTTTAAATTTACCCTAAGGTTTGTGCAATTTAGGGGTCACGGGAAAAAAAAAACAAGATCTTTTAGTGGCGGGGTAACACTAAACAAAAGCTTAATGAAGCGTAAAGTTGCTTAATTTCAAATATTATATACACAAATTAATTTGATACTTTTACCATATTAAAATAACTTTAGGATTACTATTTTCCCTAAATTTTCAAGGGATCAGCCAGCGTTTGGACCATTTAGAGATATAGGAATTATATGTAGAAAAATTATAAAATTCAAAAAATTCAAAAACAATCAAAATTAAACTTGTTTAGGAATTATGATATAAGAAATGCTATATCCTTAATTACTAACTACATTGCATCACACGTGACGTAGATGCATACTTCATCTTTGATGCTAATGCATGCACACTAATTATTTTCAAATTCTTTGGTCCAACTTTTATTTTTAAAGGTATCACAGGTTCAGTAATGAATAAACTTGCATTAACATATGCCAGCAGGTAATATTAATTATTCTTAATTAATTCTGTATTAAAAAATTTATCTCCATATCTCTAAGTGTGCAATAAGGTTACGTTGCTTCTAGCCCTCTAATTACATACTAATCATTAATTGATTAATGCTCTAATAGGAGATTTGGTTTCTTCATATATTTATGTATTGTCTTTAAATCTTTTGGTTGGGGCAGGGTGGAGGTTGTCATCTCCACCTCCAACTTGAGATTTAGTTGTATAAATGAAGTGATAAAAAAAGTTTATGATAATTTGACTTTTATTTCACGTATAATTAACCCAAGTATCAACTTTAAACTATTATTTGACATTAAGAAAAATAATTGATTTACTTTACATCTTTATCAGTTAGGTATAATATTAGTCCATCGAAGAAAATATTATTGTCTTTATGTGAAAGCTTTTTCAAGGACAGTGCCATGGTAAATGTGTAATAATAAAGAGACACAAGTGGATTTTATTTTTTTTTTAAAAAAAACTTCTTTATCTAATTAATTCTCGAGAAAATATTAATTCCAGCAGTGCATGACCCTATAATCATTTATAGTTTGCTAATACGACCATTATTTGCTACACTGGTATAAATAAAAATAAAACGTTAGAAGAGTAAAATAGATGTATTTTTTCACGAGAATTTTTACAGAGTAAATATTTTTTATTTTATAAAAAATATTAAATTGAAAAAGAAAACTACATCTCTAATGTTGGGCATCCAATATCTACTTCATTTTTCACGGTGTGTAAGCAACTCTCCTTCCTTAACCGAGGTTTCCAGTTCGAGACTCGAGAATAGAATCGCTTTTGGTAGGGAACGTTTTACCACAAAAATAGGAAGTCCTTATATGAATCCAGATTAGTCAAGTTTCAAAGAGGGTAGCGGACACTGGGAGAAAAAAAGAAGGAATATGAATAATTAAATAGCACAAGATGTAAATCAAAAGTAATTAATGGATGTATTTTAAGATAATTATACTATCACTAATGATTGCCAAGTGGGAACGATGACGTACTTGTTTTAAATAATATTTGAGTTATTGATATCTAAGATCATCTTCCTATGGTGATAAACTAGTCAATTTACCGTAGGTAATTACATAAAATAAAAAAGAATTAAATAGACTCCTTTGACAAATATTAATTTTGACCATCAACAGTTGAACTATTATATATAATAAGTATGTATTTAGTACAAAAAAAAAAAACCATCCTCTTGATTGAGATTTAATTTTTTTTATCAGAGATATAAAATCACACTAATGTAACATGAGAATTACTGCAATACAATATTCGACATGGAGTTTTTTTTTTTACTATGCATGTTATATAAATTAAACTAATATGTTTGTTATGATACCTAATTACAAGTAAATATGGACGCTGGAAACACACGTGTCACTTATTTTATATAATCACTACAAACATAAATAATAAAATATAACAATGACAATGGCAATGATAATAACAGTTTACCAGTATTAATAACAATTAAAAAAAAATAAAGTACTAGTGTGAGTGTAGCGATTAAGGGGGTGGGATAATGGTCGATGATGTTGTGACGAAAAATATAGACATTACAATTTAAGTTCCATTAAATAAATATATATATATATATATATATATATATATATATATATATATATATTGGATTTTGAAAGTGATTAAAAGG